TAGACTAACCATGTTCCGTACACAATGATGTTCCGTACAGATGACGTTTTAGTGCTGGTCGCTAAATAAATACTTCCAAGTCGAACATAAACTATATATCTGTGTCAACTTCGGGTTTCTCCCTCTTTCACCACCGATCAAGACAAGAGACCCACCCGCCATTTGTTTTAGTGTTGAAATAAATACTATTTGGCTTGCTACCAAGGCAGGTAACATGGCTAATTAACTAGCCAACGTCATCTAGTTTCCTCCCTCACGTTACTTCACAGAGTGAGGAATAGCAGTCTAAAGTACGTACTGTAGCCTACTTTTCTGCGATTTAGTACAATAATTAAATTTAGCTGGTATCATGTCTATACTTTTAAGCCTCCTGCCATTGTTTACATCTGTTCAAAATCACGCATTTAAAAAAAAAATAAAAAAAAAACCTTTGCCACTGTTTGAGTGTTTTACGGAGAGACCGTGCACGCGGTGTGTGTGTGTGACACTCGCACTCTCTCTTTCCTTGTGTGTATATGTGCACACATCCTCGTACCTCACCGCTCCAAACTTAATCCGGGAAAGGTGAATATTCCTGCATCATAACTTGGACTGAAAGAAGAATGTGTAGAAAGCGAGCATGTCTCCAAAAACCTTGTTGAGCTGCAGGTTTATGCATGCATTTTTTATTAATTTTTTTTATTTTATTTTTTACAGAAATTATGTTTTGATTATATTTTTGATTATTGAGCTGCAGGTTCAGGCTCACTTAAGTGACTGCATTTAATTAAGAATAATTAAATGATTTATTCTAATTATTTAGCCTGCCATGTTTACGGTTCCAAAATGTTCTATATGTTTCTTAAAAATAAAATGTGTTCAGTGGAAAAAAAAGTAGTTTTTTTACCCAGACATTTAAAAATAACATATTTTAGAGCTGTAATCGCAATACCGTGAAACCGTGATATTTTTTTTATCTAAGGTTATCATACCATCAGAATCTCATACCGGCCCATGCCTAGTCAGGATGTTGTGAGTCTGCGCTGTACTGCCACAGTAACATTAGCTGGGTTTCCATCCAAAGTTGCGAATTTAACTTGCGCAAAACTGGAATATTGCATAAAACATTTGCAAATAAGCATAGTTTCCATCCAACAAGTCAAAGAGAACAAAATCGTCACTTCCTGATAAACTGGCACTATAAATCACTAAGAAAAGTAGGAGAATATAATAATTTTTATATTAGAGCAGACGAAACACAATGAATGCGGTCATTGCTTTCGGAGGTGAATGCTGCTGTTTGGGAACGCGGTCGTGTAAGACATTTCTGGAAGGCAATTATACAAAAATATTTTGATGACAGACTTTGCTCGTGCATTTCCGAATGACCATAACAACGTTTCAGATGCTTAGTCAGATTAGTCAGGTTTTGCTGTCCCGTATACCGTTCCTGCGGTATGTGCAGTTTTTTTACGTGTCGTCAAAGACGGAAAGTGCAGGACTCCCTCAGTTGTGTGCAGCATGACCCCTCCCCCTCCGGTTGGTGCGAGCGGAGTCACCTGTGAGTAGGATGGCCGAAGGAGATGAATTCCTGGAACTTTTTCCCCCGTCGAAAAAGACGAAGTCTGTTGTCAGGTTTTGCTGTCCCGTAGCACAAAGTCACATGACTTTTTTGATGCGCTTGGAGGAATTTATTCGCAAAAAGCATTTCCATCTCCCATTATTCGCATCAACCCTTTTTCACACAAGTCAAAAGCCACCTCAAGCGAGCGTAAAAACTTTTTGTGAATTAAGGGATTTTTATTCGAAAGTTGGTGTTTCTATCACTCGTTTCTCATGCAATACTTTTTTTCTTAATATGCGCATTAATTTAGGGTGATATTCACTTTAATAAGAACATCGACACGTCTGCATTAGTGTAGTTGATTTGAACTATACTGAATTGTTTGTTTTTCCCCATATTTGTACAGTCTCAGAATCTGTGGGCCAGTATGTGTGCACCAACCATGTGCAAAAATATTAATTACCCAAAAATATTAATTACCTATTCAATTTCAGTTTATAGCTGTTTATGATACACCGACCGGCAGGGTTTTTATTTGCCGTTTGTTTGTGAGCAGTCATTTCCGTCCATTGCTCTGTTACCCCGGGTGTTTTTCCTCCCTGTTGGCTTGGCGGCATCTCTGCTGCGTGTTGGCATTGTTTCCCTGACTTTCTACAGCACTTCTCAAAAGCACCGCAAGTTGGTCAGATGTTTATCGTGCCGTTTGGCAGGCCAACGAGGTGAAATTTACTGATAATGTGTTCTTAACCTTCAGACCTGCTTCGGTAATCCACTTTCAGCTGCAGTGAACAAACCTATCCTCTCTATCCTCTTAGATTTTCTTTTTTTTCTCACTACATTTTCCTGTGTAATCATCCATATATAATTGTTATAATAGGCTAATTCTTTCCCCGCACTTTCCACGGTCAGTTCAGGTCCTTCTACTCACCTATTACAAAAGAGAACATTTCTTAAATACACTGAAATTATGGCCTTAATGAGAGTCACCCTGGTCATTTCCACACAAGCAGAAGGGATGGAGGGTGAAAGTGAGCCCCAAAGCCTGAATGAAGTGTAGAAAAAACAGAAGCCATGATTAATTTTGAGGGTCATGGCTCTGGATCGCTAAAGCCTGCTGTAGGTCTCCACACTGGTGGATTGACCAGGATGAAGCTGAGTAATAACTGCCAAGAATATGCGCTATCTTCAAGTCATGTTGCAGTAGTCCTATTTACCAACGTTGTAACTAACAGTTGCATTGTGGGTGTTGACTTCTGCAGAACACAAAAAAAGATAGGCTATTTTGAAGATCATTTCAACTGTTTTTGTCTATATAATGTAAGTCAGTGGGGCCCAAAACAACGCTGGACCCCATTAACTTTCACTATATGGACAAAAAAAGATGTATACTTTTTCAATATATCTTCTTTTGTTTTCTACAGAAGAAAGTAGGGCCCTATGATTTCCGCAATGCAGAAAATGCGGATGGAATCGCAGAATCCAGTCATAAAAACAAAATTTACTGTATAACGTGGACTGTCACGGAATTTGTCAAATTTGTGTCTGTGAATATTAAAGGGGTCCTATTATGCTCTTTTACAAAGTCTTGATTTTGTTTTGGGGGTGTACTAGAACAGGCTCTCATACTAGGTTGTTTGAAAAACACATAATTTTTCACATATTTTACATTATTACAACACCTCTCTCCCCAGTCTGACATGAACTGCTCGAATAGTTCCTGTATCAAATGAAGGCCTGCCTTCTGAAATATGAAATGTGCTGTGATTGGTTAGCTGGTCCAGTGTGTTGTGATTGGCAGCACTCGGTGCCTGGTCGGGAAATGTCATGCCCCTTACCATAGCTGACTGAGAGCTTCAGTGTAAATATTGCGTCAAAATCAAATCAATTTGAGCGCGATTTAAACCCGGATGATTGTAACCACTCCAAGTTCGTCTGCCTTGGGAAAGCTAGTGTGTCTCCGACATAGTGATAACACTCGTTGCCTTCTCTAGTGCAGCTCAACCAGGTCTCGTCCCATTATTTGATATTTGTGATATCACAAATCCCGGAAAATATGTGTTGTAGTCCAAACGAGTCGTTCGTTGTAGTTTTTGAAAAGTGATTTCTGTTAAATAAAATATCTTTAAAAAAAAAATAAAAAAAAAAAGTGACGTGACATGTGGCCAAGTATGGTTACCCATACTAGGAATTAATGCTCTGCATTTAACCCATCCTAAGTGCACACACACACACTGTGAACACACACCCGGAGCCCGGTGCCCGGGGAGCAGTTGGGGGTTCTGTGCCTTGCTCAAGGGCACCTCAGTCGTGGTATTGAAGGTGGAGAGAGCGCTGTACATTCACTCCCCCCACCTACAATCCCTGCTGGTATGAGACTCGAACCCACAACCTTTAGGTTACGAGTCCAGCTCTCTAACCATTAGGCCACGGCTTCCCACATTTTTTTTGAAGTGGACTTTGTAACTTTGCAGATCTTTTTTATGCTCAAACAGCAACATAACAGACTAACTAAAGTTGAAAAAGTGAAAAAGCATGGCAGGACCAGTTTAAGCCAAAAATACCATTTAAATAGAAATCCTGCGTGTTCTGCGTGTCTCTGCGTGAATGAATAGCACAGACGTGCACTTTCGTTAACTACACACATACTGAAGTGCGTGTGACGCACGCAGTGTGTGAACACTGAACACATGAACATAATGTCTAAAACTGCTCTGAGAGTCACTTCATAAGCATTTTACTGTTTGTTTGAGTAAATCTATCATCATGTATACAAACAGAAACCTAAAGGTCTTAACAGCAACGCATCAAAATAAAATTTCAGTTTAACTTAAAGGAATCATGACAGGAATATGTCTAAATGTAATTGTAGTATTAGGGATGCACGATATTATCGGACCGATATCGGAATCGACTGATAATGGCTTTAAATGTACATATAGGCATCGGCCCAATATGAAAATTTATGCCGATATGACTTGCCGATAAGAGGAATACATGTGCTCAGGGTGTGCTAGTGATTCGATTTTGTCAGCAGTGTGACTCGTTTTTGAAGCAAAGTTTTGTCTGAATGATGATTAGATTCAGTGCTTTGGATCGCTGCATTTTAAACTGAGAATGCACGTACAGAATGATGCGTTCGGTGTATGATGGAGTAAACCGTAATCGCACGTGCAGCGGCAGCCTCCCCCGGGTTCTAATGTACGGTAAGGAGTTTTGATTCCGTAGGGGGTGCTGTTGGCCTACTTTTATTAAAATGAAAGTAAAATACACAAATAACATTTAGACTGTTTCTGATCAAATAAAGCAGTAATTGATGTCATAAAATCATGAGTATGTTTTGATTTAAAGGTCAGAAGCTATAGCTTACATGAATACAAAAAAAATCACAAACATGACACGTGTAAATTAAATAATTTTTTATAGCCTATTCTGATTTATTCATTAATGTGTAATATGTTATATTTTTTAAACAAATGATGAGCTCTAAAATATTTTCTGAATCTTTACAACTCTTTTGCTTTAGATCATCTACAAATGTTAAATCTTAAAATAAAATGTTAAGGTTACTACTGCATCTTTCTGAAAAAAAATGCAGCGATTGATATATAGATTATGTATAGTTATTTTCAAAGCTTTAATGTACTGTCATTCTAAAATAACTTCAGTGTTGTTTATTTAATTCTAACAAATAAGTTCTTGTTAAAAACTAACCAAATTAAAAATAATTTGCTTATTTCCACACAGGAGAGACTTGGTGTTGTTTCCAAACAAAAGGAAATATATCAGCATCGGCTATCGGCCAAAAAGAGTTGAAAAATATCGGCATATCAGATATCGTCAAAAATCCAATATCGTGCATCCCTAGATAGTATTACTACTACTAACAAATTTATTATTAAAACATTATTTTTAAAGGAAAATTAAAATGGAAAAAAATACAATCCAGAAAAATTAAAACCGAAAAAAATTAAATTCATAGGGCCGTAAGAAAGTCATGGTTTGAAATGACATGAAGTTGATAACACACGCATGGCAACTACATTGGCCATTATTCTGTTGTATTAGTCCAAAAAATATGAAATTGCGCTCTTTGTTTATTTATTTTGATTTTATACCAAAATCACTTTAATGCACTTCACATCTGAATTATGACCAAACTCGTATGTAGGGGCTTCCTAGAAGGACTTTCTCCTCTCTGCCTATGCCATTTTAAGCTCCAGTGTCATAGAAGGATGTGAGGAAAAAAAGTCTGTTGTTGTGGTGGAGAAAGCAGGATGATATATGGGATCTGGATTGGGTCAGAGAGCAGACTGCACAATGTCTGACAGGAGAATGTTACATTATCTACAATCTCACAATTTCTTTTTCTCGTTTCTTCCTGCTCACTGCCTGTTGTAGATCCGATGGGAGAAGAACATTACACTTGGAGAGCCTCCTGGATTCCTCCATTCATGGTGGTGGTAGGTCTCATGTGTTTTATTTATATTTTATACATGCTGTCTATCTGTCTGTGTGTAAACTAGTACTAATAAGTGTGTATTTCAAAATGGACAAATTATTTTGTTTTATTATTGATGCTCTGACATCTTGTCTAATCCAGGCACATTGCAAGTTATGTCTCAATTCAAATGTTGAGTGAAGTTACAAAATGTACAGCTCATCTGCACATACTTAATAGTGCTTACTAAGGCAAGCATCACTATTACTGTTATCCAGAGTCAGTTTGAGAAAACCTCAAATGTCTCATCATCATGCAGTGCTCGTTATGGCTGGTTTAAGCAAAAACTCAGTTAGGATTTATTGCTTATCACTGTATCGCATTGCACCTGCAGGGCTCAACAATAAAGATGGAGGATTCTGCCTGTCAACTTTTTTAGCTTGTCAGCTAGGTACAGTTATCTAGCTGGATGTCAGATGAGATTTTGTCAAATCCACAAAAATGACTCGTGATAATCTTAGTAGTGGCATTTAGAGTGTGTTGAAAAATACAAATCAGACAGGGATGTTTTTCAATGTTAATGTCCAGAAATAGTTTTTTTATACTTATTACTGTCTTGGAGATTCCTGTCTAATTCTAAGAACTGCATTTAAAAAAAATATATATATATTTTTTAATTCTGTAAAAGTTAGTGGTTCAACGGATCACAAATCTCACGGTTCAGATCACATTACGGTTTTTGACCCGATTTTTTGGATCAGCAAGAAAAGAAAAATATTTCAATTTAATTTGCTTTCTATTTATTACTTAAAGCGAAGTACTTCTTTGATACCATAGCAAATACTACTAGATTAACTAAGAAAGTTTAAACATGATTAAAGAGACAAGAGAACAGCCAGTAAAAATAAGAACAAATACACAAATTACAAGCATAGATAAATACAACAGAATGTTACAAATAAAATAAGGTTGGTAGTAACCAAATACAGTCAAATACAGAAATGTAATAATTAGGAAAAATAACACTGCATAGTGTTCACTGTATAAATTAAATATAGATTATCACAGCTGTTTTGTTGTTTGATGATCGTTAATGACAGCAGCAGTATTTATAGGCCGCTGTCCCTTTAAGACCTGATGCACGGATCCGATATAATGATACACATCACATCCGATTTCTTTCTCAGCTGTCTTCATTCACTTGAGACATAACTGACTGCGTTTACCTGAATGATTGTCGAGATGGGTATTTTGTCATCATTTTATGTGTATGTGTCTGTTCAGAGGATTCAGAAGAGGATTCAATTCGGTGTTCGTGCGCCGTGTGAAACGCGTGTGCGCTTCATGTGTGTGTGGCTGTGCTTTGTCTCTGCTAACAGCGCACGAGTAACGAATCGAGTTCCCTTTTGTCTTTTCTCTCTGGGATTGTTTAAAATTCACTTGCTTGTTTAAATACGAACAAATGAAAAAACGTATACTCTATTATGGTTACATTTTGCAATTAATCCGCGGATCACATGCGTGCCGAACCGTGGGGCTTGGTCCGTACTGATCACGGATCAACTATGATCTGTTTAACCACTAGTAAAAATGATTATTAAAGTAAGTTAATTTAATTTTTAAATGCGTTTTTTGTGTTGTGGACAACAAAAATGTGGACAGGGCAAGTTAAAATCTGAACTATGTCCCAACTGAGCAAGCAGAAAAAAAAAACAATTGGTGTTGAACCCTGACCTGGTTAACCAACAGTGTGAATGATACAGTTAAACTGAAAATATACTCCCTGTTAACTTAAAAGTGACTCCACCATAAAGAGAGAGTAGTATATCTATTACAGACTACAAGATTGTTTGCATTAACTTTCACTGTATTGATTTATACTAATCCAGACTTAAGTTTGGCTGTGACATCAGCCGTCAAACTGTATGTTTAACCTGCTGCGGTTTGACCCGTGGCAGTGGGTGTATTATTGGGTCAGGCAGCCTTTACAGGGGGCACGTCTGCCTGGGCCTGGCTCTCCCACCCCACTCCTTCAGACAAAAGGCCCAGATGGTGGGGCAAAGACATGGCCCATCCCTTTTCTAAACCCCTTCCATCAACCTTTGTCTCTGCTGCTGTCCTTTGTTCCTGTTAAAGACCCCAAACACAGATTAACTCTTTGCATACCGGTCCCCCTTTGTGGCAAGTGTCCGGATCCCCCACTGGCCCAATTCGGTTATATTCTCCTCCATTGGGGGAGGCCCAATGACAAACTGAGGGCCAGCGGGAGGCCAGGGGGTCAAGACAGCTCACCGGTCGGTAGCAGTCATATAGGATAAAGGGGGATGAGTACAGACTTGAGGAAAGAACTTGAGTCGTTAAACCTCACCTCCTGTATGTTAGCGCCTTGTAACACTTTGTGGCGGCATGAATCTTCGCAAATGCTTCTCTCATTTTGCTCATATTTATTCGGCAAGGATTTTCTATTTGTCATGATTCCGTTATTAGCCATAAACCGTGCGGCTGTTCTAGTACCTGAGGTCAGCGGCTGCCTAAGGGTCAGGATTATCTCATTTCTCAAATGCAAATGACAAACCACTGCACTCCTAATAATACACATGCAACAGAGGTCCTCACTGTAAAGTCTATATGGATGTGGTTGTATTACCCCTGCTTTTGTCTCGTATTGTCTTTACCATTAGGATTTGCTTAATTGCCCCCAGAGAAGAGCTTAGTGTTTAAAATAATCTATTAACATGAGAATGTAGTTAACTCCAATTAGCATCAGAGGTACGCATTTTGTTCGCAAGGAAGTGCCGTGACGTAATTCGAACAAACCTGCAGGTGGCGTTTTGAGGTTAGGTCATGTGTACGAGTCAACCGTAAATCTTTGCTAGTGATGGGCGATACCTCTTATTTTATTTTCAATCTGATACCGATATTTTCAAGCCCAGTATCGTCGATACTGATACCTATAAACTAAACTGATCTTTTAAATTATTAAAAGAATATAATCAGTAATTATACTCACTTAATATTAGATTTTAAAGCCATGTTTTTATCATTTCATAGGCCTTTTTTGTTTACACTGTCAGAAGTAAAATATACTATAATTGTATTTTAGCCCTTTACTGGGGCAGTAACCTCAAAGGTGCAACTATACCCCTAAAAGGGAGCATATTAGTACCATACAAGTATGTATGCTTTAAGGGTAGATAAGTTTCAAAGGTCCACCTTTGAGGATACCTCATGAAAAATAAACATGGTGTTACATACGTACTAAAATGTATTATTATTATTACCATGGCAAATTTGTGGTTACTGCAGTTTCACTACAAATACTGTGGTAAACAGTGGTTACAGTAATAAAACCATGGTTATTTTTTGTAAAAGGCTGCCAGGCTGCCAGAAAAAAAATATGCTAAAGTTTCGCCCTTTAGGGGTAAAAAAAAATCGTGATATGACATTTTTGCCATATCGCCCACCCCTACCCTTTTCCCTATAGAAAATTACAGTACAATTCAAAAGTTTGGTGTCGATAAAACCAGCAAGGATGCATTAAATTGTTCAAAACATGTGATAGTAAAGACATTTATAATGGTAGAAAAGATTATTTTCTATTCATTAAACAATTTTGAAAAACTGTCATGGTTTTCAAGTAACAAATAAATTATTTTGGAATCTCCTGTAGACAGTAAGCCATTCAAAATGTTTTGATATTTTAGTTGGTTTCATTTTTAATTTCATTTTTGATATAAACAGTGGCCAAACCATGGTAATATGCAATTATCCTGTACAATAGTTACAATGACTTAGAACTATGGTATTTTGGTGGAATTTTTGTAAGGGTTATTTAGCGTTTATAGTTTAACATTTAAACTGTGCATTTAGAAGTTTGCCATTTTTTTAATTTTATAATGTAAAACTACATTAAAATGTGTAAGTCTGTGGTTTCATTTTATCTAGCCATTTATCTGGAGTTTTAGTTGTTTCCCCTTCTGGGGTTGTTTCTCCCTCACTTCCTATCCCCCTCGTTCTCTCCCTCCATTTTCCCCCTCTCTCTTTCCATGTCTGTTTCTAGTTTCCTCTTCCCATTAATGTTCCCTTCCCCCACATACAAAGGGTCCCTCATTTTTATCCTCTCTTTCTCTCCTTTTCCTGTGTAACTCTTTAACTTGCTGTACAAGTGTTTAGGAATGTTCTTTATCCTGGTAAATATTTGCAGGGAAAAAAAAGATAGTTTCCATTGCATTAGCACAAAAGCAGTCTTATCAACAGGGTTTCCAATTCAGGTCTATAATATCACCAAATAGTTTTGTCTGATATAAATATATCCTTGATAAACACTGTTTATTTTCCATTTCTTGGTGAGAGCAACAGCAGGAGCGTGTCGTGTGCCGGTGGTTAGTTTTTAGCCTTCCCACCGCCGGGCTTTTTTTTCCAGGAGATTTTATAGGTTATCTATTAAATCGATATCTGAAGACCTGGAGCGATCTAATTTGGGCCATTTAAACAGGTACTTAGTTTCAGTGCAGTAATTAAAATACCATTTGGACACAAACCTTGTTTCCCCTCCAAACAGCCCTGCAGGACCCAAAGACTCTTAATTGAGGAAATCCCTGGCTTAATTGATCTGTAACTTGCTGTTTGTGCCAAGCGGGTGGGAGCGAAAGACTGTGCAAGTCTCAAGTTTCACTGGACTTCATTTTTACCATGCTGGCTTTGCTTGATGTAACTTTTCTAAAGAGTACACTGTAAATAGGTTGCTGTAAATCTTACAGTAACTTTATTCCTGTGATCAAAGCTGAATTTTCAGCATCATCACTCCAGTCTTCAGTGTCACATGATCCTTCAGAAACCATTCTAATATTCTGATAAACATTTTTTAATATTATCATCAATATTTAAAACAGTTGAGTAAATTTTTTTCAGGCTTCTTTGATGAATAGAAAGATCTAAAGATCAGCATTTATCTGAAATAAAAAGCTTTTGTAACATTATACACTATACCATTCAAAAGCTTGGAGTCAGTATAATTTTTACTTTGGGAAAGAAATGGTAGAAATTACTACTTTTATTTAGCAAGGATGCTTTAAATTGATCAAAAGTGATGATAAAGACATTTAGAATGTTATAAAAGATTTATATTTCAGATAAATGCTGTTCTTCTGAACTTTCTATTTATCAAAGAAACCTGAAAAAATTCTACTCAGTTGTTTTCAACATAATAAAAACAATAATAATAATAGTTTTCTGAGCAGCAAATCAGAATATTAGAATAATTTCTGAAGGATCATGTGACTGGAGTAATGATCCTAAAATTCAGCTTTGATCACAGGAATAAATTACATTTTAAAATATATTCAAATAGAAAGCAGTTATTTTAAATAGTAAAAATATTTCAAAATTGTACTGTTTTTGCTGTACTTTGGATCAAATAAATGCAGGCTTGGTGAGCAGAAGAGACTTCTTTAAGAAACATTAAAAATCTTACTGTTCAATAACTTTTGACTGGTAGTGTAAATAAAACACAGTAAAAATGAGTTTGTGTTGTTAAAATTCAGTCATTTTGACAGTAAAAGTTGACAAGCTCTCCGAAGAAAAACAGCAGGATGGGATTCAGGCTGCACCCTCTTTCCAAATGCATTTGGTGCCACAAATGTTGAAGGTCTGAATGAACCTGCAAGCACAAGAAAAAAAAAACATTATTTATCAAAGCAGTTTACAGAATTTGCCTTGACTGTCAAACTTCTTGGTGCTGTATGCACTTTGCCGTTAATAAATATGTTATATACTACATCTGAACGCACCTACAAGGAAGGTACATAATTAGTTGATAATCCATCATATTCAAATTATTAAAGCTCAATTTTTTACAATGCATTCTCAATCAGTAGAGCAAAGTGTTGAAATAATGGGTTTGATTCCAGGGGCAGTTCTACGGTGAGTGGATATCCGGGGCTTAGCCCAGAAACATTAATGAATGTATCAGAATACACGGGATACACTTCAAATAAAATAGGCTATGCTAAAAGTTACATTGGCTAAGTGGCTTAATTTTTTATTTTTAAAGAGACAAGTATAATGAATTAAAATTTGCACTTACAAATTGCATAAATAACATTACAGTGTTTCCCACAGACTTGCACTCTATTTGTGGCAGCATATATATGCAGACTCATTCTCTGCCAGCAGGTGGCGCTGTTGGAGTGGTAGAGATCGAGGTTTCCCTGGTAACGCTGTACACAAAGCAGAGCTCCACTCACAAACACTGCATTATCAGACATTACATGCAAGAAGAAATGAAAACTAGTTTCCATCAGAAATACAGTGATATAAAAACACCCGCTTTCGATTTTGAAACGTGCAGTGCTCATGTTTATTCAACATGTGCTAGCATGTTCCTCTCAAAGTCACCCTGTTCTGTGAGTTAGTGGAGAACAGCAGCTAGAGGCTAATTTAGTAACATTAAAGTTAGTTAAGCTGATGGAAGCTCACCTGCTGTTAGCACCGCTACGAGGCAATCACAAGACTCCA